TGCCGAGCGCGCTAGATGTGGGCTCTAGATAGTGTAGCTCCTGTGCTTAGACGTTTATTTTTTGTTGGCCTGTGTGCCTAGACTAGTGGCCTGTGTGCCTAGACTTATGTTGCTTTGATGAATTGTGATAGATTTAGCCTGTGCACCCTTAGTTTTATGGGTGTGGCATAACACCTTTCCCGGTTTTAATAGCTTCTGCTTTTGATTGCCTTAATGATTAGTTGTTTATCGTTTGAATTTAAGTTTTAAGATGTTGGTAAAATTGGGGGTGTTGCAATTGGTATCAGAGCCTAGGTTTGGTATCAGGGTAGTCTTTAGATTAAAGTCTATCGTTGATGAATCGTTGTTTGATGGTCTATTCTTGTCTTTCATTGGAATTTATTGTTGTATCCTTTGATATTATCATGTACATGTGATATACCCGTTTATTGATACTTGATTGGGCTATTGGTGAGCCTCAATCCTTCTTGATGATGACTATGTGTTACTATATGTTTGGTGGTATTGTTACTTGAGCTTTGCTCATGAGTTCGGTGGTTGTTACTATGATATTTAACGGTACCCTCGTGTACTGAGTTCGGTGGTATTATGTTTGGTGGGGGACAACGGTCCTAGACGGAATAAGGTTGGACTTGGCGTACAGGGTGGCACTAGGAGGTAAAGGTTGGAACTGTAATAAGGTTGGCCTGGAGAGAGTGGTTGGAACAGGGCATAAGGTTGGAACTTGATACTCATCTTTGAATGTGATTCTTGTCTCTCACGGTTCGTGAAAACGTGACTTATGTTGCCTCTTGATTTATTATCGTTTGATACATCTTGTTGTTGAGCATGTTGTCTTTGCTATCCTTATTGATTATTGAGTAATCATTTGATGTTGGTCTTTATTCGAGAGTGACTTGGCGTTGAGTTTTATGTTGTTCCTCTCTTGGTTTTAAAAGGATATATATTGTATTTCTCTGTCTCAACTGGTTTTGATTATATCTATATACTATGATATTTAACGCGTATTGGTGGGTTACCAGCATCTTTCGCTGACGGGTGTTATCCCTAATGTTTTTACACGTTTTGAGTAGCTTTTGGAGAGCGCGCTAGCGGACCGTTAGATAGTGTAGCTCTTTATGACTTTCCTAGTTAGACTTGTGGCCTGTGTGCCTTGAATATATACTAATATATTATAAATTATATAATTATAAAAAGGGAAAAGACCACACGTTTACCGTAAGACCAGACACAGCTTAGTGTTTACCTTCTTTGTCTCGCATCTTAAATTCACAATTCGGGCGATTTCACGAACCCTATTCCCTAAAATCCGACCAGCCGCGCAGCCCTCTCCGGCGAGAGAGGAGTCACAGGCTCGCAGTCCACCATTCTGCCCGGCAGGGGTGGCCGTCGGTTTGGTTCGGGTGATACCCGAATTTTATTTCGGATATCCAAAATTTTCGGGTGGTGTTTTTGACACCCGATATCCAAACCAAATTTAATTCGGATATGTTCGGTTCGGGTGAAATTATTTCGGGTTTGTTTGGATATACCCAAAATATTGTTTTATCAATTTTGAGTTTTTTTAATGATTTTATTATTTTATTATTTATATTTTTTTCATATACTATCAAACTAAAAATAAGACAAATACTAATAATTAACTAATAGACTTTTAAAAATTAATGTATTATTAATTATGAAATACATTTAAAACTAAATATTAATATATTATTATATTTATAATAAAATTTCGGTTAGTTCGAGTTTCGGGTCGGGTGTTGATAAATTTTTAACACCCGATATCCGAATCGAATTTATATTCAGATATACCAAAATTTAAAATATCTGAATCGATAACTATATGGGTTCTTACAATTCGGTTCGGATTTCGAGTGTTGGTTCGAATAATTCGAATTACGCCTACCCCTACGCCCGGCACCAGCCCCCTCTCGAAGGCCAAAGCCCTATCTCCAGTCTCCATGCAGCCCCTCTCATAGTCTCGCCTCACTGGCTCACTACCTCGCGCCGACTCAGTCACCGGTCGTCGCTCAGAGCCTCAACCTCGAGTCACACCCTCACAGTCACCCATCTCAAATTCTCAAATTCTCAAATTCTTGATTTTTCCCTTCTGCCAAGTTCCAACTATTTACATACTAATTTTATAATTTCTATTTGATTATTTGTTGACTTTGAAGTTTTGATAGTTAGATTTATATAAAGAAAATCACAATGATATTTATTTTTAAAAATTTTGAATGTGTTATGCAGATTGGCAATATGAAGACTATGAACTTTATTTAATTTGTTTTGTGAAGTGTGAAGAATTTGGCAGTATGAACATGATGAACTATGGCTACTATTTAAGGGTTACTTTTATTGATGCATAATGATGTGTGTTTGTTATTTTTATATACAGATACAATGAAGCACTGAAGCTAACTAGCTAAGGCTACTGTCGGTTTTTCGGTTACCGCAATAACTGACAGAAACCGACATAATCGGGTTCGGTCGGTTATATGTATATGTTCGGTCGGTTATGGAGGGTTAAAAAACACGATCAATTTTTCGGTTATTAACCGTAACCGACCGATGTTCACCGTACCCCTAGGGACATGCAGATTGCATGCTGCAGCTTTAATACGAATCCGACCCACTGCATATCATGTTGGTCCCGAAGGGTTTGGGAACGAATCTAGAGAGGGGGGGGGGGGTGTGAATAGATTCGTTAGATTTTTGAAAAATCTTTCAGAATCGTTAAGTCCACAAACTCAACAACTCGTTAAGAGCCTCTTCATATGCACAGCGGAAATGTTAACCCTTTTAGAGGTTCTTTGCACGAGTTCTTGTTATATGAAAACTTAGGTTTGCAGTATGAGATATGAAATGTAAATTAATGCAACGCGTAAAATAAAGAGAGAGAGAGAGAGAGAAATATTTTTATAGTGGCTCGGCTGTTAACGAAATCTACTCCACTATTCTTCACAACTCTGAAGGTTTGCACTATCTCCTTAGGCCATCTCCAACCCATTACACCAAATTCTGCACCAAATTTTACACCAAAAAGAATATTCTCAGAATATTCTTACACCAAATTTTATTCATCTCCAACCCATTATACCAAATTCTACACCAAATTTTACACCAAATTTATTTATACACAAAATAATTTGTTTCTCATAAATTATAACTTTAATTTTTAATATAAAATTTAATTGTAATGCAAATAATATTTTTATTCCACAATAATATAACATATAACAACTATTACATGGTAATTTTTAAAATTACCATATCGTTCCCACAAATGCTCAATCAATGCATTACGAAGTGCATAATGCGCTTCTCTATCTTTTATTTATCTATGTTGAGTAAGAAATTCTTGAAATAGAGTAGCTTCATGGAGGAGGGGTTGAATCAAGTAGTCAATTTAATAAATATTTTGATTAATCTGGGAGGGAATAGAGGTGGCCTGGGAGACTATTAATTCTAAGTATGTTTCGTTTAATTTCGGATGCATTCGGTTTAATATGCACTTTAGTTTTTAATTAATCTATATATAATATTAGACTTGTTTTAATCGTCTTAATGCGATCTTTTAAATGATATAATTTATTTTTGATTATTCAAATTTTATGTTTATGTATTTAACAAAATATGTAAATCTATAAAAACAAAATAAGGATACAAAAGGAATTAATAAAAAATATTAAGGTCAAAGTGGGAATTATAATGGTTAACACTATTTTGGCGTCAAGGTACAGTGCAGCGCCATATTTGGCGCTGCACTGTAGACCATCGGCAAAATGGCGCCACTTTTAGCGCTTCATTGGAGGACTTCAGCGCCAAAAGCAGCGCCATTTTGGCGTTTGGTGGAGCATTTGATGCTCCCTTGGAGAGGGCCTTAGTACAAAATCACTCCAAGATTGTTCCTTGTCACAAAGTCGAACACAATCTTATGATATAGGTTTTTCGACTACTTCAAGTCTACTCGCCTCTATCTACTTATCCAAGTATAGGAAAGATGATGAAGATATGAAATCTTTTCCTCCAACTGTGAAGCTTGGCCTTTTGATGAACTTGATGTAGCACATGCTTCTTAAATATGGATATGTAACTTGTAAGAAAGTCTCTCTCTTGACTGATCACTTAACACTGGATATTTTTCAAATTTATGAACACTTATAAATTTTTCAGATCAGTACCTCATTCTGTGAGAGAATTGAGTTATTTATAAGTGTGAAATTTGTCCCGTTGGAGAGAAGACGAAATTTCAATCCTATTGACCAGTGAGTAGAGACCGCTGGGTAATTCGAGTAATTTAATGCATGTCAGTACTTTACAGTCGTTGGTTTCCCGGGTGCCCGACACTGTTCCCGCTCGTGAAGGGGCTCCTCTTCTTCAATTTCTAAGTGTCTTCAGTAATCAGGATCGACTACCTCTGCCTACTTCCAGGTTGAGTGCCTTATTAGAGGTATCTATCAGTTACAACTGTTATGAATCGAATGCCAATAATGTCCATCATAATAATATATTTATAACAAATATAAACATATTTAAAATGTCGTCATTAACAAGAATTTGAACTCTTTAACATTAGAATAATGGGCTTAATTGATCAGGCGCCCATAACTTAGTTAATCAGGTGCCCATAGCCTAATGGATAAGGTGTTTGACTTTTAATCAAATAATGGTGGGTTCGAGTCCCATTGTGTGTGTGAATAATATCATATTTTAATTCCAATCATACCCAATAAGCTAACTAACAATTTGAAAATGATTAAAATATTAATAAAATGTCAAAAAAATATTTTCCTTAATTATAAAAACAAAATCCATACTACTAAAATTGTAAAGATAAAAATAATATAATAAAAATCATACACTATTAGATAATATAACTTAATTAGGATGGGAAGTTAGTATTAATTAATTATATCATTTTTGTTTTTTTTTTTTGCAATTTAGGTAGTATGTGGTTTTTTTTTTTTTTTTTTTGAGCAAAACAGGTAAAAACTTCATTAATGCTGTAAAATATCGGAAATACAACTCGGTGGAACTTGGGTCCACACTACTGAGCCAGCCATAGAACCGGTCGCCCGAGCTAACTCATGAGCTACACGATTCGCTGATCTCCTGACATGGGAAACATGCACAATCCCAATGTCCATAGCAATCGAACGACATTGCTTAATATATAAACCAACATATGAAAAATCAACAGAACGAGAATGAAACGCATTACAGAAAAGTAAACAGTCTGATTCTAAAATGATATTATTCAAGCCCTGTTCCTTAATCCAAGTTAGAGCTTCCTTGGCCGCAAGAACCTCGGCAATAAAAGGATCGTTCTCGCCATTGAGTCGTCCCGACTTAGCCGCAATGAATCGGCCATTCCAGTCGCGAATAACCGCTCCAAACCCCACTCCATCTTCAAATGTGGCAGCATCAACATTGCATTTGAGCACATTGATCGGCGGCAATGACCACTGTTGATTGATATCCATGGCACCAGGCGCACATCGTGGAGTGACATAGGTCGCGAGCCGCAGCTGCTGATTACGAAGCATACTGTCACGGGCCGATGTTGCTACCGGAGTCCTATCATTCCAAACTGCTTCGTTTCTTGCCTGCCAGATCGTCCAGAAAACAGCAGCCATAACCATCGCCTCATTTATCTTCGCGAACCCCAACGTAGCGTCCATGAAGGCGAGGAAGCCATGCCCATGAAGGATTTCATCTTTATGCCAAACCTGTTTCGCAAAATGACATTCACAGAATAGGTGAGCCATCGTCTCCGTCGCGTGTCCACACAGCGGACAACCCCCCCTCCCCCCCCCCCCAATCCACACCCTCTTCAACCGAAGATTCTCTCAAACCGGAAGGACGTTGCGCGCACAGCGCCATAAGAAGTTTCTCACCTTAGGGGGGACTGGCAGAGTCCAGATCGCTTTCCAAGCACTGAATCCATCCGCCATTTCTGTATGTATGCGTCCCTGAGCAAGCAGCCGATATCCATGTTGAACATAGTAGATGCCTCGTAAATCGCCAGGTCATCTCCAACAGTCGGACAAGTGAACGTTGATCGGGGTTCCAAGAATACGGTGGACATCCTGTGGATCAAACAACTTGTATATGATGTCCATATCCCATCGACCACGATCATTAATTAAACCAGCAACAGTTGCGTCGCGGAGCTCCTCGATACACGGGGTAACAAAGGGCTTGTTGGAAGAATCGGCAAGCCAATTCCACCCCCAAATCATGGTGTTCGCCCCATCGCCAATCCGCCTGGCAATCCCTGCTTTCAGAACCTCACGTCCTGCCATAATGCTTCGCCATAAGAAGCTTGGGTTGTTTCCCAGTTGAGCTCCCATAAAATCTGTTAGCGGGAAATATTTCGACTTCATTAGCCGACTAACCAGCGAATCGGGTTGCGTCAATAAACGCCAACCCTGCTTAGCCAGCAGGGCGACATTAAAATCATGGAGTCTTTTAAATCCAAGACCCCCGAGAGATTTAGGCATGCAGAGCTTGTCCCAACTCAACCAATGTATCCCACGACTTCCCTGGCGTCCTCCACCCCACCAATAACGGTTAAACATTTTCTCCAAAGTGTCGCAAACTCGCAGTGGCAGCAGATACACAAACATCGTAAAAATTGGTAGCGATTGAGCTATGCTTTTAAGCAATATTTCCTTGCCTGCTCTGGAGAGAAACCTATGTTGCCATGACCCAATTCGTGCCCGAATGCTCTCCTCAATGTACCTGAACACCTCTGTTTTGTTGCGGCCTAGAACTGAAGGCAGTCCTAGATAGCGCCCCAAATCTTGGGCCTCGTGAACCCCCATCAGACCCGACACCAACATACGCATGTCTTCCGGAGTGTTGCGATTATAAACAGCGCTGGACTTGTCAAAATTAATTAATTGTCCCGAAGCCGAGCTATATAACTCGAGACAATCTTTAACTTTTGAAGCTTCATATTGATTGGCCCTGAAAAACAACAAACTATCATCAGCGAAGAATAGGTGAGTGATGGCCGGGACTCCCCGGGCCACCCTCACCCCATGAATGTCCCCCCGCGCTTCCGCTTGTTGCAAGAGGATCGAGAGACCCTCAGCACAGATGATGAAGAGGTAAGGCGACAAAGGGTCACCTTGCCGAATACCCCGAGACGGGGAAACACGACCTACAGCCACACCATTAACTAAAATGGAGTAGTTAACGGTGGTGACACAATGCATTATAATCTCGATCCAATCATCATTAAAACCGAAAGCCCTCATTATTCCCGCCAAAAAACTCCATTCCATGCGGTCGTACGCTTTAGCCATATCTAGCTTTAGCGCAACCCAACCAGATACGCCACCAGTTTTCCGTCTCAAAAAGTGACCGATTTCACCAGCAACTAAAATGTTGTCAGTAAGGAGTCTGTTTGGCATAAAGGCGCTCTGAGATTGAGAAACCACCTGATCTAGTCTCTCTTTAAGTCTATTCGCAAGCATCTTAGCTATCACTTTATAAGTGACGTTGCAGAGAGCTATGGGGCGCAAATCAGACACTTTAATCGGATTGGATTTCTTTGGGATTAGAACGATATTGGCATCGTTCATACCCACTGGAAAACACCTATTGTCGATACACTTGATAAGGAACATGGATAGGTTATGTCCCAGGACCGGCCAAAAGTGTTGAAAAAAGGCCAGCGTCAACCCATTTGGTCCCGGCGCCTTGTCCGGAGCCATATCAAAAAGAGCCGCCTTTACCTCCACGGTTGTGAAGGGCTGTAACAGAGTGGTGTTAACCTCGGCTGTTACCTTGGATTGGACGCGGGAAAACAGGTCGGCATTACAAGCGCTTGAGCAAAAGATAGATTCGTAATACCTGATAATTTCTGTGTTCATGGCCTCCCCCTCCTGCCAGTCATCATTTGGACCTTGCAAACGAGTTAATTGATTACGTTTGCGGCGTGCTGTTGCCGATTTATGGAAGTACTTAGTATTAGCATCGTCGAGCTTGAGCCAAAGTTGTTTAGACCTTTGCCTCCAAAATGCTTCCTCCGAAGCAAGCAGATGCTCAAGCTCAATTTCCGCGGCTGAGAATTGTTCAACAGCCTGAATCGAGCGGTCCTCTTTAAGTCGCGCGAGCGTACGACGTAGCACCTGAATGCGGTTTCCAAAGCGTCGATGATGGTCTTTGCCCCACTTCCATTGTCGCGTACCACATAAGGCTAGCCGGTCCTGAAAATCCATACCTAGCGACAGCCTCCAAGCTTCGCCGACCACCGCGGCACACCCCTCCTCTAAGAGCCAAGCAGCTTCAAACTTGAAACCCCGACTCGCCAATTCGCCAGTTCGGCCATCCGTGCGCACCGCAAGCGCGCAATGGTCAGATGAGGACATGTAAATGTTATGCACCTCAACACCCTCATGGATATCAAGCCATTCGAGAGTGGCTACAGCTCTGTCCAACCGTTCCTCTACCCAAGAATCTGTACCTCGACTTTTTTCCCAAGTGAACCTTCCCCCTGTCATTCCCAAGTCAATGAGCTGACAATCCCCCAACGTGTCATTAAAGCCTTCAATTAGCGAAGCCGGATAAGGATGAACGCCTCTCTTTTCTGACAGGCATGCAATGTCGTTGAAATTGCCAACAACAACCCAGGGAAGTGAAGAATTGCCCTTAAGTTGTCGTAGCAGATCCCACGTAGTATGACGCCTAGATCGTTCTGATTCACCATAGAAGCCCGTAAGCCGCCATGGTGGCCGATCTGGGAGAGTAATTGCCATATCAATGTGGTTCGCAGATAAGCTCAATAGCGACGCCGTATTTACATCCCTCCAGAAAAACGTGAGGCCTCCACCTTGACCCGAACGCTCCACACAAACCTTACAGTCAAAACCCATCTTCACACGAATCTGTTCCGCACGAAACTCAGTAGCCTTCGTCTCCATCAAGAAGACGAACATGGGTCGCTGCTTGGACATGACGTCCAAGAGTTCACGAACTGACCGGGTGCCACCCAAACCCCGGCAGTTCCAACTTATGAAACTCATTGGTCTTGGCGAGTCTGGTCCGCCAGACTCGCCTGTCCATGATGCTTCGTTGTATCAGTCATCAACACGTCTCTGCCAACAACCTCAGACTCCTCCTCCTCACGTCTGCGCTTTAGGTCCCCCTGCAGCCCTCCAGTTTCCTCTAGTCCCACCAGAGTAGCCGGGGATGGTCCAGCCGGAGGGAGAGTGGACGGTTCCGGCGCTGAATTGGGGGTCTGCAATAGCCATTTCGATCCAATCGGTTTGACTTGGCGTCTCGGTCCTGCCCGCATCCAGGCGCCAAACGGAAATGCTTCTGGCAAAACACCCTCCTCGTACACAGTTTTGCAAAACTTGTCAGAGTGGCCTAAAACACCACAGCAGTAACAGAAAGTACTCAGGCGTTCATATTTGAACGTGATCCACTGTATGGTGCCATCCCGACGCTTCAGACGCATACGTCGCTTTAGAGGAGACGTGACATGTAGCCGAACACGGATGCGATAGTAGCTCTTCCATGCCCCTCCAAAATTGAAAGGGTCGACTGCGATGAAATCACCCACATATTCTCCGATCTTCGCGAGGAAATCGGATGAGGCATACATGGTGGGCAGTCCATGAATCTGAATCCAAAACGGGACAGAATCCAGCTTCACCTCCTCCGGCAGAACACCCGTCGGAACCTGTTCTAGAATCAGATGATTATTCTCAAAGGACCACGGGCCATCATCAACCACGCGCTGGAGATCCCTCGGATGCGGAAACTGGAAGAGGAAAAGGTCTTCCGCTAGCGAAACTGCATACATACCCATGACCGGACGCCACACGGACGCAAGAACCTGTTGCAAGTGATCGAACCGGACCTGCCGATCCGTGAGAAGGCGACCAACCAGATTATGGTGAATCGACCCGTCGGGCGTCGTATGCAAATCGGGTGCATCCAATCCGCCAACCTCCTCATCAGCCAAAGACAGATCGGCACACAGTTTCTCAATCTGGAGAATATCCATGGCACCTTGGTGAGTCGTAAACAACAGCAACAGAATGAGACAAAGAGAATGTGATGATACGGTATTCTCCATCGAAGCAGAACAGCAATAAAAAGCCCTAGAGAGACCTAGGGAGAACCTCTCTCAATACACGATCGAGAGAGAGGGCCACTACGAAAGTCGGTGATCGGAGATCGTGATCACGATCGGAAACGTATTAGGTAGTATGTGGTTTAATTTTTGTATAATTAATAAAATTATTTTGGTGATATTTCATTTCTTATATTAATATTTTAATAAATTACTATGGTTGGATTTGAATATTAAATATTTTTTTATTATTATTATTATTACTATTACTATTACTATTATTATTCCAATGTCATGGGTTCAATTCTTATTAATGACATGATATGTTAAATATTTTTATATTAACATATTATTAATTAGTGATTTGGTAGTCACACTACCTCTATGAAATCTAGTCACATTAGCATATCTTTATAAGGTCCTTCCCATTTTATCGTCATTTTCACCCCTTCAGTCGGCCAGCCGGCTTTCCGGTTACGTAAGACCAAGTCGACCACGTGATGATATCGTACTCAGGCCCTCTTATCTTGATAACGTTTGACCGCTTACTGATACTCGGTCATCCGAGCGTAAGCCGCATCTCTCATTTCCTCCAGTAAATTCTTTTTGATTTGCAATGTTTCCTCACTGCCTTCATCATTGTACAACACGATATGCCAACTGGGTACCTGGAGCTTAGTCGGGACCTTGGCCTCAAACCCGTATGCTAGGGAAAGGGGGGTTCAGCGATTGCTCTACGGGGAGTCGTTCGGTATGCCCACAACACCTTTTCCAACTGCTCGACCCAAGTATCTCCCAACTCTTCCAATCTTTTCCTCAAACCGTCCAAGAGGGTGCGATTTAGGTTCTCTATATGCCCGTTTGCCTAGGGGTAAGCCACGTACACCTTAATGTGCCGGATCCCATGCTGAATGCAAAACGCCGTGAAAGCTCGGTTATCAAACTACCTTCCATTGTCCTTGACCAACCACTTGGGCAGTCCAAATCTGCACACTATTTTTTCCATATGAACCGTCAACACTGATACTTCGTGATGGTGGCCAAGGGCTCAGCCTCAGCCCACTTGGTGAAATAGTCCACGACTGATATGAAAAATTGCACCCGTCCGGGAGCCTGGGGTAGTGGCCCAAGCAAGTCAAGTCCCCACTTGGCAAAGGGGATTGCTGTAACACCCCCGAATTTTACCAACATTTAAAAACTTAATTTAAAGAAACAGTCTAGCATTAATCATAAACAAAGCGGAAGCTAACATAATTCGGGAAGTGCTATGCCACACCTATACCAAAAGATAGGTGCACATGCTACAACTAAAACCATGTTCAACAATCTAAGGCTCACAAGCCAACAAAACAGAATAAGTCTAAGCAAAGGAAAGCGGGAAGAGCTACACTATCTAGGGTCCACATCTAGCGCGCTCTTCGATCTAATCAAAACCTGTAAAGATAAGGGATAACACCCGGTCAGCGAATAATGCTGGTAACCCACCAATACGCGTTAAGTATCAATATATATACATAGATATAGTCAAAACCGTTTGAAACTGAGGAGTACAGTATATAGCATTTGAAAACCAAGAGATGAGTCAACAACAGACATATCACACTCTCAATAAAGATCAAGACCAACAACTTCAACAAAGCAATAGAGACCATAATCAACAAGAGACAACCACAACTCTAGATGCAACCTACCATTCACAAGGTAGAGTTCATCATAGACATGCTGATAAGTAAGAAATACAACAATCATATCATGACAAGTTCAGATTCAAGTTTCACGTTCCAACCTTATGCCCTGTTCCAACCTTATGGCTACCCCCGGCCTTATACCAGTTCCAACCATTACCTCCTAGTGCCACCCTGTACTTCTGAGTCCAACCTTATTCCGCCTGGGACTGTCGTCCCCCACCAATCTTTACCACCAATCTCATAGTATTACCACTGATCTCTCAGTACACGAGGGTACCATTAAACAATCACAATATTACCACCGATCTCGTGAGCAAAGCTCAAATAATATTACCACCAACAATATTACCACCGATCTCGTGAGCTAAGCTCAAATAATATTACCACCAATCTCATTCATATTCACACAAAGTCATCATCAAGAAGATTAAGGCTCATCAATAGCCCAATCAAGTATCAACAAAGGGTACAATGATTTGTACAAGATCACACCATAAGAATCAACCAAGAGATTTCAATGAAGACATGAAGCAATACTCAACAACAATGGACTACAATCCAATACCAATATGATTGGCAACACGAGTTGCCAATCCTCAACAAGAAGGAACAAACCATACACACTAGCATAACAACATCAAACTAGCATGCACATCAAACGGGTAAACCGAAATGGTTCCAACGAACCTTCAAGACTCATTTTAGTCCAACGAATCACGAAGTTGGACCCTTAGCACGACTCAAGACACCAAATCCTAACATGGATTCCTAACACATCGTTCTAGACATACGAAACATCAAGAAGACTCACAAAAGCTCAATAATCCAACAATGGGAGGTCAAAATATCAAACACCAAAAAGAAAGAACCATGGGGAAACAATTCCCCGCCATCATCATAACGTTCCCCGCGGGTGGGCCCACGGGTAGAGCCCTGCCCGCGGGGCCACAAGGCCACGTTCCCCGCGGGCGGGTAGGCGGGTAGGCCACTGCCCGTCGTTCCGCCCGCGGGGTACCTCCTGTACACCACATTTTTCCCTTTGGGGAAATTCATCTCCAAGGTCAAGTTCAAGTCCAAAACACCCAAAACCTCACGCACAACAAAGATATGACTTGAAGCCAAGAATAACTCAAAGAAAGGCATTCAAGAACCCTAAATATAGGCTCTAAACATGCATTATCACAAGATCATGCATCCAATCTCACAAATACATCAAGAATCATCAAATAGAAGCCAATAATCATTCATAGCAATAGAAAATAGATTTTGTAGAGCATGAGTTACCTTTGAAGACCAAAAACCACTTTCTTCTTACACTCTTAAGCCTCTCCTTGAAGTTCTTTCTCACCCAAGACTTCTTACACAACCAAACCACAAAGAAAACACCAAAATAAGATGAAGATACCTTAAAACTAACTAAAAATACTAAACCACTTAAGATCTTACCCTTTCCTATGTTAGGGAGGTAGAAAGGTGGAATCTTTACATGAATCTTTGCAAGGTTAGTGAATTCTTCTTCCAGCTTGGAGAAAAAGCTAAGATTTCTTTAGAGAGAAGGTGGAGTGTTTGTGACTTGGCTAGCAAGGGAAATGAGTGAAGTTTCTTGCTAGGGAAAACTTGAGCATCAAAACATGTGTGAAAGGTCAACTTTGCCCTTACTAAAGCTAGGAAGACAAAAGTGTTGAGGTACAAAGCATAAGGCAAAAGGTACACATGGTTGACTAAGGAAACTAGTCAAATTCTAGTCCCTCGACTATTAAATTTCAGGATTTTTAGAAGGAAATTATCAAAGGAAAATTAGGATTAATTTCTCAATTAATCTCAATTAAGGGTTAGATTTACAGGGTGTCACAATTGCCATGGTGACTGGGTGTGAAAGGTAGCCGGTCGAGTATCTCTCGTGGTGAATGACTGGCAAGTCGGACATCCCATCACTTCTTCCACGCAGTCTTTCACCATGTTCGGCCAGTAATACCCTTGGATGACGAGCTTTCGAGCCAATGTGTTAGCCCCTTGGTCATCAGCGCAGATCCAACGGTGAGCCTCCATCATAACAATCTTGGCTTCATCGGGAAGTAGGCGGCGCATCAGTGGTCCCCCAAAAGATCGTTTGTATAACTGCCCATCCACTATCTCAAAGGAGGGGGCCCTTTTTCGCACGCGGTCGGCGTCTTCCTTCTTGTCAGGCAGTTTAGACTCCTCTTTGTACCTTATGATATCGACAATCCAAAACCACTCGGGTTGGGTCTTAGGATCCGAATGTGGAGTAAGCATCCGAGTGACCACACAGATCAAGAGTGTTTCGGTGCTCGGCCTTTCCACTATTTCGGTCCGGCAAGTCATCGAGAGATGGTCGGGTACCCCTCCCAATGCTAGCTTGACAGGATATCAGCCTCCGCATTCTCTGCCCGGGGAACATGGATAATTTTGTAGGCAGTCAGCTTATCCAACAGTCCCTCAATCACATCCTTATAGAGTTTCAGCCTTCCCTCCTTAGTCTCACACTCGGCCTTCAACTCACTGACCACCAGGCGGGAATCAGTCTTGACACGTACCCGGGTAGCTTTGAGTGTCAGGACTAGGCGAAGTCCGCCAATGACCACTTCGTACTCCGACTCATTGTTTGAGGTCCAAACTGGTACTACAATGCATAATATAAGTGGAACCCTTCGGGGGTCGTGATCATCACGCTGCTTCTACAATGCAGACTGCTGGTTACACTGTCAATACAAATCTCCCACTACTCAGCCTCTCTAGGCACATCGGCAGGCTGATGGTCATTAGATTGGGCGGAGCACTCCACTATGAAATCAGCTAGGGCTTGAGCTTTGATGGACGACCGATGTGCGTACTCGATCTCGTACTGAGTGAGCTTCATCGCCCAATTGAGCAGCCGTCTGAATGAGGAGCACTTCACTATGAAATCAGCTAGGGTTTGAGCTTTGATGGACGACCGAGGTGCGTACTCGATCTCGTACTAAGTAAGCTTCATCGACCATTTAAGCAGCCACCCGGATGAGGCGGGGCTACGCAACAAGCTGGCCAGCGGTAAGTCAGTCAGAACCCTAACCTGGTGAACTTGGAAATAGGGGACCAACTTCCGCACCGTGGTGACCCCGGCAAAGGCAACCTTCTTCAACAACGAGTAGTTAACTTCCGCGCCTTTTAGTGTCTGTCCTACGTAGTACACGGGCAATTGTAACTTGTCATCCTCGCACACCAGTGCGGAACCGACTACCTTCTGGTTGGCGGCCAGATACAAGAACAACACTTCACCTTCCTTGGGTTTGGATAGCAAGGGAGGAGTCAAGAGGTATCTCTTTAAATCCTCAAAGGCAACCTGGCATTCCCAAGTCCACCGGAAGCCTTCCTGCTTTTTCATAGCTTCGAAGAAAGGCAAGGCACGGTCAACAGACTTAGATAGGAAGCGGCTGAGTGCGGTCATCCGCCTAGTCAGCGCTGCATCTCTTTGAGGTTACTGGGAGGTTGCATTTCCAGAATGGCCTGGACCTTCTCTGGGTTGGGCTCGACCCCTCATTTGGTCACCATGTAGCCTAAGAATTTTCCTCCCATGACGGCGAACGCACATTTCTTAGGGTTCAACCTTAGGTTGTATCTTATCATGACCTCGAAGCTATCCGTCAGATCTTTGCCATGATCCCCTTCTTCTTTGCTTTTAACCAACATGTCATCAATATAGGCGGCCATAGACTTTTCACTCAGGTTCTTGAATAGTTGAGAAACCATTTGGGTGTGCGTGGCCCCGACATTCTTGAGACTAAACGGCATAACCTTATAACAATACACCCCGTCGGGAGTGATATTTGCGGTCTTTTTCTCATGAATATCTGGTGATACCCACGAAAGACATCCATGAAACTGAGTATAGCGCACCCGGCCGTGTCGTCGACCAGCTGGTCGATCCTAGGTAGAGGGAAAGGATCCTTAAGGTAAGCCTTATTGAGGTCAGTGTAATCCATGCACATCCTCCACGCTGGCGGCTTGGGCACTAACACCACGTTGGCCAGCCAGCTGGGGTACTTTACTTCTCAGATGTGCCCTGCGGCTAATAAAGTGTCCACCTCCTTCTTGACGAAGTCTCTTAGGTCGTTTGGCAGATACTTCCGCTTCTGCGCGACAGGCTTAAGACTAGGGTCGATAGCCAATTGGTGGGTGATGATTGACCGGTTGACCCCAGGCATGTCCTCGGGTCCCCAGGCGAAGCTCTCCTTGTTGCTCCTCAATACTTGAATGACTGCTTGCTTAATGGACTCCGTCAAGCCAGTCCTAATCCTGACCTTCTTCGCTGGACAGTCAGGATCCAGAACAACTTCTTCCAATTCGACTGCGGGAGCTGGGTGCTTAGTCGCCAGCTCCGCCACCTGTACTCAAAACATCATACGAGACTCATAAACATCAAACGGGGTACAACGGGACACAGAGAAACAACAAACTGGGGAAAATGACCCGCCGCGCCACACCGTTCCAGCGGGTGGGCGGCGGGTGGAGGACCACCCGCCGGTGGGCGACTACATTCCAGCGGGTGCCCGGTGGGCAGTCAACTGCCCGTCGGCTGCCCGCTCGAATCGGGCAACTTACCCGCAGGTAGGTGGTGGGGACTCGTTCCCCCCACCTACCCCCCACTGGTATGATAGTGATTATTTGGTTCGGTGTTCGTTCGTGGAACCCAAAACCGTGTCCAAACGCATTCCAACACATAACAACAACAACACGGATTCGATTAACAAAGACTGAACCAAGAATCATTCCAATTACATCCTAACACGATTCCTAAACATGCAAAGACTCGACATCAATCGCATAACGGTTCAGGAGCATCCAGAACCTCAAGAACATCAAGAAATCTATATGCAAAGCCCTAAAGACAAGTTCTAGACTAGAATCAACACCCGAGCATGCATAAACCCACCCAAGAATACCAAGAACATTCAAACCCTAAGGACAAGCTCTAGACTTAATTAAATACAAGATCAAACCAATAACCACACAGGGCCATCAAGAATATCAAGAATAGCAATAATTCACCATATAAACCTAAAGACAAGCTCTAAAAAGATATACATACAAAATCACACAATCAATCATTCAATCGGAGCCAATCAATAAACAATAGCAAGGAAAATAGATTTTGTAAGACATGGGTTACCTCTTAGCCCTAATCGATTTCCTCGGCTACTAAGGTTCTTCCCTAAGATTCTTCTCCCAATCGATCTTCCTAAGCTTGATGGTGGGGGAATTCCTTGGTTGGATCTCCCAAGAGATATTTTCGATTAAGAGAGGGGTGAGGAAGGGTCCTAACTGCTTCCTAATCTTCTATTTATATGTTTAGGGAAAAACATATTGGGGGTTTGGATGATAAAGCCCACTTTCCTTATTTTCTACGAGCTTAAGGTTTCTAGTTCAGGCAAAGGTTCACGATCCATTGAGAACCGCATAAATTAATTAAGAGAATTATAATTGAATTAAATCCTTTTTAATTATTTTAATTAACAAAATTAATTTAATAATTAATTCGGGTTTGAAGGCCGTAACACGGGGTGTTACAATTCTCCTCCAGAAAACTGCTCGCGGTGGCTCTCCCTCGGGCAGCTCTCTACCCCTATCGGCTGATTGGACGGGGGATTGATTCCCGGCTCGACGGCCTAGCCGATTCAAAGCTCACTAGGCAGGAGTAGCGGGGCCTAGCCGCGAGTGCCCAAAGCATGCTGGTCGATGGTGACCAGGCGAACGACCCTCTAATCGCACCTAATGCTCTGAGGCCACTGCATTCACGTGTCCTCCTTGCTCGACAGGAACCGATTATGCCGGTCGTGGTTAAACGACGTTAGGTGCTTGGCCTGCTCCATGCACAAACGCATCAAAGGCCTGAGCCAACAACTCCGTGAAAGTTGGTGGGACCTGAGCGGCAGCCGGTGGGAGGTTCTCACTAGGTATTTCTCAAGTTGGCACGATAGTACCTTTGGTACGTGCGACCGACATTTCAGCAGACTCAACTGTTCTCATAAATCTCCTACGGAAGCACGACTACCCACAGGTTGCGCTCTCGCATCGACGACGGTGACATGTCCGTTGGCCGCCAGGGCGACGACGTTCTACCAATGTTACGGCCACTACGACGTGTTCGTGCCATGACCAAAGCTTAGAGACGGGACCTTTTGTTTTGACCCCCATAAACGGCGCCAATGTTGGCTTTATGGCTTAGGGCAGCCGATCGACGGACCAACACTACCGTAAAATATTAGGTCAAAAGAGACAAAGTGTTTTGTAGAGAAAAGAGCAAAATAACGTAAATTACTTTAATTTTGGATCCGTTACAAGATGACCCCGTGAGGGTATTTATACAAGGAGTTAGATCCTCTATATGACAAGAAGAATGAAAAAAACTAAAATTACGCTTTAGAATCTACCAAAACCTGTGCATTAATTACCTAAAACAAGGAAGGAAATTACTTGTTGCTCAAGGAAAGAATCTCCAAGATACCCGCCCTTAACCGCCTCTGGGATCCGCACTCGGTTGGGGACGCTCCGACTGCCCAGTCTGGTCGCCCATCGGACCCAGCTGAGTACCCGGTCAGGGACACTCCGACTATAGAGCCTGGTCGCCCATTCGAGCCCTCCAAGGACCTAGCTGGGGACACACCGACTACAGAGCTTGGTCGCCCGTCCAAGCCAGCTAAGTACCCAATCGGGGACACACTGACTGTAGAGCCTGGTTGCCCGGGTGCCCGACACTGTTGCCGCTTGTGAAGGGGCTCCTCTTCATCAATTTCTAAGTGTCTTCAGTAGTCAGGATCGACTACCTCTGCCTGCTTCAAGGCTGAGTGCCTGATTAGAGGTATCTATCGGTTACAACTGTTATGAATTGAATGCCAATAATGTCAATCATAATAATATATTTATAACAAATATAAACATATTTAAAATGTCGTCATTACCAAGAATTTGAACTCTTCAACATTAGAATAATTAGTAAGGGCCCATAGTTTAATTGATGAGGTGCTTATGGCTTAATGGATAAGGCGCTTGACTTTTAATCAAGCGATTGTGGATTCAAATCCCACTGGGCGTGTTTAATTGAAGTCGTTGGCATAATATTTAATTTGCCATTACCCAAAAAATATTAGAATAATAATTTATTGATAATTAATAATATCATATTTTAATTCCAATCAAATATGGCTCAAGTGCCAAAATAGCACCATGAACTAATTGTGATATGTCATGCCGCACCCTAATAAGTGATTATTAGATTCACAAACCAAAAAAATTTCGTCTAGCCATTTTTACAGGTTTCCATGTTACCTTGATGACATGACTCCGGT